TCTGGAAACCCTTTCGTAAGCATTTCAGAACGTCACAATTGTATTCTGTGGACCTCCAAAGTGTCTTGAAGAAGTCCAGGCTTGGACCTTGTATGCCTAGTTAGTGATTCAGCTTGGACCAATGTAAATATGGATGGACCATACCAGGCTGCTCCCCCCAGGAAGCTGGAAGTCCCTGTAGTAGACACTGATACTTCAGACATCTCCACTAGCTTCTGAGTCCCATGCTGAGCCACCGGCCTGCTGCATTGTGAACACAGGAGGTCCACCGATGGGCATGGGCACCGTTCAGAGAATGCTTGGTATTTCTTGAATGAATGCAAAGCATTCTCTTGACTTGACGAGGTTGAAAGCGTGACATCACTTCGTTACCTCTGCACTTAATGAATGCAAGGCTTTCCTTGACTGGATGAAGTGGAGAGGTGGTGAAGTGATGTCACGCTTTCAACCTCATCAAGTCCAGAGAATGTTTTGCATTCCTTCAAGAAATACCAAGCATTCTCTGAACGGTGCCCATGCCCATCGGTGGACCTCCTGTGTTCAGTAGGCAGAAGTGTGGAGAGGACCGGTGGACAGGACCTGGAAGAAAGTGGAGAGGACCAGTGTAGAGGACCGTGTAGAGGACCGGTGGAGAGGACCTGTGGAGAGGACCTGTGGAGAGGACCTGTGGAGAGGACCTGTGGAGAGGACCGGCGGAGAGGACCGGCGGAGAGGACCGGTGGAGAGGACCTGTGGAGAGGACCTGGAGGAGAGGACCTGTGGGAGAGGACCGTGGGGGAGGCGGAGAGGACCGGTGGGAGGCGGAGAGGACCGGTGGAGAGGACCTGTGGAGGACCGTGGGAGGAGGATCCGTGGAGAGGACCTGGGGAGGCGGAGAGGACCGGTGGGGAGAGGACGTCGACACAGCAAATACTTTACTCCTGCGCTGGGGTTGGGTCTGAGGAAGAGGACTGAGTTCTCAAAACGCATCAGCAAGTTGGTCATCCAGAGGGTTCCATCCTTGTGGAGATGCTATATGGACCTTGGAGAGGACACCACTGTTCATGGTGATGTGCCAGGTAGTGTTTATATGACCATTGTGAGTATGATACCTACTTGTTTATCCTTTCAATTAATATTTTTTACGATAATGCACTAGGCCGGCGCCCTCTTTGTTTTTCTTTTGCACTGTAGAGAGGAGAGGACCCGTGGAGAGAGAGGACCGGTGTAGAGGTGGAGAGGACCCGTGGAGAGACCCGGTGTAGAGAGGAGAGGACCGGTGTAGAGGAGAGAGGTCCGGTGGAGAGGAGAGGTCCGGTGAGAGGTGGAGAGGACCGGTGTAGAAGTGTCTACTTCCGTGATTTCCAGCTTCCAGGGGGCAGAGGCCAGGTATGGTGTATACATAGGTACATTGGGCCACGCTGGGGAGGCAATGTAACTTGTTAGTCGTACCCGGAATTCCTCTTTAGTAGTCATACTGATATGTGGAAGGACCGGTAATGTGAAAGAGGCGGCCGGATTTTTTTTCAGGTGGACAAGTCAAATCTAAGCTTGGACCTCATACACTAGTGGGGAGGCAAACATTTGTGGGAACCTGAGATCACACCTATAGGGAGCTTATGAGCATCATATTCCAAAAACAAATCTGACTTTCAGCTTCCCTCCAGTCTTGCACAGTTGTGCCGGCTCCTCTGCTGGGGAGGCTGAAAAGGCTTCCTCTGATTTCACTGAACACTGTGAGCTTCTCACAATGTGCAGTGGAAGATGGAGCAAGTCAAACAGCCTGCCGCCCTTCCTTGCTGGAGACACCCAGCATCATCTCACCTTCTTCTCCCTGACCAATGCCTGTCACCTTCCAATAGCTGTCCCCCCCAACATCCATCAACTGTCTGCCTGTCTCTGCACTCCACCCCCCCAACACAAATCAACTGTCTGCCTGTCTCAGCCTCCCACCCCCCCGACATCCATCAACTGCCTGCCTCACTCCCCCCCCCCCCCCCCCCAACAGGTCCATCAACTGTCCCGCCCGTGTCTTCCCCCCCCCCCTCAACATCCATCAACTATTCAAGTGTCCGTCGGGATCTCACTCCCCCTCAACATCCATCAACAGCCCGCCTGTCTCACTCCCTCCCAACCCCCCCCCCCCCAACATCCATCAACTGCCCGCCTGTCTCACTCCCTCCCAACCCCCCCCCCCCCCAACATCCATCAACTCTCTGCCTGTCTCTCTCCCCCCCCCCATTTTTTCATCAACTGTCCGACTGTCTCTCTCTTCCCCCTGTACCTCCAACTGTCCACCTGCCCCCCCAATCCATCAACTGTCCACCTGCCCCCCCAATCCATCAACTGTCCACCTGCCCCCCAAATCCATCAACTGTCCGCCCTGCCCGCCCCCCCAAGTCCATCAACTGTGTGCCGCCCCCCTGGAGCCAGTCCATCAACTGTCCCCCCCCCCCCCCCAACTCAACTGAAATCACTGCCCCCCCCCCCCCATCCATCAACTGTCCCCCCCCCCCCCCCCCCCCCATCAACTGTCCGCCCCCCCCCCCCCCCCATCCATCAACTGTCCGCCCGCCCCCCCCCCCCCCCTATCCATCAACTGTCCCCCCCTGCCTCCCCCCCCATCCATCAACTGTCCCCCGCCCCCCCACCCCCATCCATCAACTGTCCGCCTGCCCCCCCCCCCCCATCAAACTGTCCGCCCTTGCCCCCCCCCATCCATCAACTGTCCGCCTGTCCCCCCCCATCCATCAACTGTCCCCTGCCCCCCCCATCCATCAACTGTCCCTCAACGTCCTCCCCCCCCCCCCCCCATCAACTGTCCGCCTGCCTATGCCCCCCCCCCCCCCCAACCCATCCATCAACTGTCCTGCCTGTCCCCCCCCCCCCCATCCATCCCCCCCCCCCCCAACTCCATCAACCAGTCATGTCCACATCCCCCCCATCATCCATCAACTGTCTGCCTGTCTCGCCCCCCCCCATCCATCAACTTCCCCTGCCCCCACCCCATCCATCAACTGTCTGTCCCCCCCCACCCCATCCATCAACTGTCTGCCTGCCCCCCCCCATCCATCAACTGTCCGCCTGCCCCCACCCCATCCATCAACTGTCCGCCTGCCCCCCCCCCCATCCATCAACTGTCCGCCTGCCCCCCCTACCCCCATCCATCAACTGTCTGCCTGCCCCCCCCATCCATCAACTGTCCGCCTGCCCCCCCCCCATCCATCAACTGTCCGCCTGCCCCCCCCCCAATCCATCAACTGTCCGCCTGCCCCCCCCCCCCAATCCATCAACTGTCCGCCTGCCCCCCCCACATTCATCAACTGTTCCCTGCCTCCCCCCAACATCCATCAACTGTCCGTCTGTCTCCCCCCCCCCACATCCATCAACTGTCCGCCTGTCCCCCCCCCATCCATCAACTGTCCGCTGTCCCCACCCCCCCCCCATCCATCAACTGTCCGCCTGTCCCCCCCCATCCATCAACTGTCCGCCTGTCCCCCCCCCCCATCCATCAACTGTCCGCCTGTCCCCCCCCCATCCATCAACTGTCCGCCTGTCCCCCCCCCCCATCCATCAACTGTCCGCCTGTCCCCCCCCCATCCATCAACTGTCCGCCTGTCCCCCCCCCATCCATCAACTGTCCGCCTGTCCCCCCCCCCCATCCATCAACTGTCCGCCTGTCCCCCCCCCCCATCCATCAACTGTCCGCCTGTTCCCCCCCCCCATCCATCAACTGTCCGCCTGTCCCCCCCCCCATCCATCAACTGTCCGCCTGTCCCCCCCCCCCATCCATCAACTGTCCGCCTGTCCCCCCCCCCATCCATCAACTGTCCGCCTGTCCCCCCCCCATCCATCAACTGTCCGCCTGCCCCCCCCCCCCATGCATCACTGTCCGCCTGCCCCCCCATCCATCAACTGTCCCCCCCCATCCATCCATCAACTGTCTGCCTGCCCCCCATCCATCAACTGTCCCCCCCGCCATCCATCAACTGTCCCCCCGCCATCCATCAACTGTCCCCCCCCCCATCCATCAACTGTCCCCCCGCCATCCATCAACTGTCCGCCTGTCCCCCCCCCATATCCATCAACTGTCCGCCTGTCCCCCCCCCCCCCCACACCCATATCCATCAACTGTCCGCCTGTCCCCCCCCATATCCATCAACTGTCCGCCTGTCCCCCCCCCATATCCATCAACTGTCCGCCTGTCCCCCCCCATATCCATCAACTGTCCCGCCTGTCCCCCCCCATCCATCAACTGGTCCGCCCTCCCCCATCCATCAACTGTCCGCCCTCCCCTGTGTCTGCCCCCCCCGCCCATATCCATCAACTGTCCGCCTGCCCCCCCCATAATCCATCCTGTCCCCCTGTTCCCCCCCCCCCCATATCCATCAACTGTCCGCCTGTCCCCCCCAATATCCATCAACTGTCCGCCTGCCTGTCCCCCCCATCCATCAACTGTCGCTGCTCCCTCCCCCCCATCCATCAACTGTCTGTATCTGTCCCCCCCCCCCCCCATCAATGTCTGCCTGCTCTGCCCCCCCCCCCCAATCCATCAACTGTCCCTGCCCCCCCCAGCATCAACTGTTCCGCCTGTCTCTGTCCCTCCCCCAACATCCATCAATTGTCCGCCTGTCTCTGTCCCCCCCCCCCCATTCAACATCCATCAACTGTCCCCCCCAACATCCATCAACTGTCCCCCCCCCCCCCCCCCCCCCCAACATCCATAACCTGTCCATCTGCCCCCAACATCACAACTGTCACCTGTCAACCCACCCAATGCCTGTCTGCCTGTCTCCCCCACATTGATCCATAGCCTGACACACCCCCCCCCCAATGCCTGTCTGCCTGTCTCCCCCCCTGACATCCATAGCCTGTGACCCCCCCAAATACCTGTCCGCCTGTCTCTCCCCCTCCTTGACATCCATCACCTGTCCGCCTGTGTGTCCCCCATCACCTGTACATACCCCCAGTACAGTCCCCCTTTCCCTGCCCCCCATTGCCTCTCCCCAGGACCGGCTGACCTGCAGCACACACCTCCACATCGTACGAGTTCCCTTTGCTCTTCTGGTGTCCCCGGAACTTGGAGCCGCTGTACAGCAGACTGGTGGCCACCCCGGGCTGCTGCGTGTTGATAGGCGGGGGCGGGATGAGGGAAGAGGAACCGGAGCTGCTGGCCTCGGTGCGGACCGGCATGGCCCCCGGGCTGCCGCTTCTCCGGCCGGGGCGCCTGGGCCTCTCCTGCACCCGATCGTGCCGATTGGTTCAGCCGCAGCCCGCCCATCCCTCCAGCTTCGTTACCGATTGGCTGCCACGGCAGGCGGAGAAAAGCTGAGGGCGTGTCTCTTCACGCTGATGCTGTCTAGCGGCGGAGGACGCTGATTGGCTGGGGGGGGGGGGGTCAGGTGGTACGCAAGGACTTGCCGGTGGGGTCATCAACATGGCGGCGCCCAGTCTGTGATTCAACGTGAGTTCTGATTGTAGGATGGACCCCGTGAACTGTATTCTGTTGGGGCCACTAGTGCCGTCCTGGATCGCCCACAGGAGAGCCGCTGCCCTCTACAGACCGGTGTGTGTATCGTACATGTTCTCATTCAGCATGTAAGAGGACCTGTCATCTGCCTGCCCGGCTCCAGGAACTCTGATGAAGGCAGGAGATCGTCCTACACAGAGGAGCTGATAACCCCCCTCCCCCACCATACAATCAGAGCACACTGCAACATCTCATAGGTCACCCACAATGAGGATTATAGTGATTGATCATTACTTCCTCCACGATCGGTCACTGTAGTCCTCATACAATGGGATAGCCGGTGTTACTATCACTACACTGCAATCAGTACAGTTTAATCAATACATTCTTATCACTACCATCAATACATTCCTATCACTACACCACAATCAATACATTAACATCACTAAAATCAATACATTACTATCAATGCAGTATAATCAATATATTCCTATCACAACATTATGATATATTCCTATCACTACAATCAATACATTATAATCAATACATTCCTGTCACTACAGCACAATCAATACATTACTATCAATACATTACTACAATCAATACAGTATAATCAATACATTCCTATCACTACACCACAATCAATACATAACTATCACTACAATCAATACAGTATAATCAATACATTCCTATCACAACATTATAATTAATATATTTCTATCACTACAATCAATACATTATAATCAGTACATTCATATCACTACACCACAATCAATACATTACTATCACTACAATCAATACATTACTATCACTACAATCAATACATTACTATCACTACACCACAATCAATACATAACTATCACTACAATCAATACAGCATAATCAATACATTCCTATCACAACATTATAATTAATATATTCCTATCACTACAATCAATACATTATAATCAATACATTCATATCACTACACCACAATCAATACATTACTATCACTACAATCAATACATTACTATCACTACAATCAATACAGCATAATCAATACACTTACAATCAAACAGTATAATCAATACAATCCTACCTATCACTACAATCCATACATTATAATCAATACATTACTATCACTACAATCCATACATTATAATGAATACATTACTATCACTACAATCACTACATTATAATGTAGAATCAATACATTATAATCAATACATTACTATCATTACAATCACTACATTATAATGTAGAATCAATACATTATAATCAATACATTACTATCACTACAATCACTACATTATATTGTAGAATCAATACATTATAATCAATACATTACTATCACTACAATCAATACATTATAATCAATACATTACTATCACTACAATCACTACATTATAATTTAGAATCAATACATTATAATTAATACATTACAATCAGTACATGACATTTAGCGGCTGGAAGTGTTGGAGTGTACTCTGCCTCATCGCTGTATACACTGCTTACTTCTTGTTCTGCCTTTCTTCGCTGCCCCTCCTCCCAATCTGCAGTACACAGCCCCCCCCCCCCCCCAAAAAAAAAAAAACCCTGTCAAAATAAATAGTCCGGCCTTCATTGGCTGCCAGGTCTCTCATTATTGGCGCTTGTATCGGCTCACTTTTTCCTTTCAGCAAAAGGGCTATTCTAGAGGTTACTGAACATTCATATCGCTCACTAATTGGTTGCTAGAGGTACCACTCACTGATTGGTCACTATAGTTTACTGCACATCCTTACTGCTCACTGATTGGTCACTAGAGGTTACATTATATTGCAGTTCACTGATTGGTGAATAACAGGAACTGGGCCCAGTAATTTTAAACTGGAACTTCAGAAAAAGATATATATATATATATTATATATATATATATATATATATATATATTTTTTTTTTTTTTAGTTATTTATCTGCATTCATGTTTGTTCCCTTGCAGTGCTCTAAAGCATCTTCTGCTACCAGACAAAATGCTGCAGAGTCTCCGCACCGTCTTTGCCCGGCGTGTAGCTCTGAACCCGCGCCTGTATCCTGCCCTGAGTTCAGTGGACGGTGTTGTCTGCTCAGGGAAACGCTTCTATACCCCCTCTAATGGTGAGTAAAGAGTGACAGAGAGCAGAGCCGCTGCTAAAGGCTGAGTTCATTTCTAATATAAACTGACCTATGCAGAAAAGGGGCCCTAGTAAATTAAAAAAAAAAAAAAAAACACTGTTCCTTTTTTAAAAAAATATTGTTTAAAGGAGAATTCCAGGTGTGGGCATCTTTTTGCATAGCTACATTGGTCCAGCTTGGACCAATGTAACTCTACATATAACATACCTGCGGGATCCCTGTGGAAGCTGGAAATCACTGGAGATAGACACCGCTACTACAGTGAGTTCTTCTTGTTTCCTGGTCGTGTGGCTGGCCTACTGCATTCTGAACACAGGAAGTCGGCCGCTGGGCACAGGCACCATGCGGAGAATTCTTTGCATTTTCTCAGTGAATGCGAAGCATTCTCTGATTGGATGATGTGGAAAGCAAGGCATCACAGTCCTGCCTCTCCACCTCCCAATGTTTATAATGAAATACTTTGAATGTTTCTATTCCTGCATCACGGCTTATTTCCAGGACTCACACTGGTTGTGCAGCAGGGAGAGAGCCGGAGGAAGTGAGGGATAAGGTAAGTAAAACAGCTTTCTTTTTTGGGGGGGGGTTTCCTCTTTCTCTAGATCAGGAGTCTCCAAAATTTCTTTATAAGGAGCCAGTTTACTGTCCTTCAGGCTTAAAGTGGAGCTCCACCCAAAAGGGATCCGCTCTAAGTCTTTTGGGGACAAAGCCTTGTGCATGCGCAGTGGCCACCCGGCTGTGAAGCCGCAAGCTGTCACAGCCGGGTGTGCACACTGAAGATGACAGAGCCGCGGTGAGAGAAGATGGACGGAATTTGACAGGTACCCGCTCCCACTTCCTAGGCGATTGGAAGCGGAAGTTCTGCCCCCCCCCCCTCCGTAGTCTTCTGGGACACGTGACAGGTCCTAGAAGACTACGGGTCCATTCACAAAGCTCAGCCACAAGCGGTCACAGCCGGGTGCCCACACTGAAGATGCCGGCACCAGGGAGAGAAGACGGCCAGTGAATCCAGTGGTGGTGAGGATACCGTTGGACTGAGGGACAGGTAAGTGTCTGTATTTTAAAAGTCAGCAGCTACAGTTATTGTATCTGATTAACTTCCTTTTTTTTTTTTTTTTTTTTCAACTGGAACTCCACTTTAAGAGGGCAAGACTGTGGGTGCCCTGCCATCAATGGGAGTAAGCAATACCCCATCGTTGGTTTTAATGGGAGGCATCACTGATGGTCAGTGAAAGGCAGCACTGATATATTGCACTGAGGCGGCACTATGGCACTGATAGGCGGCACTGGCACTGATAGGCGGCACTGACTGGCAGCACTGACTGGCAGCACTGATTGACATTGATAGGTGGCACTGATGGCACTGATGGGTGACACTGAAAGGCAGCTCAGATGAGCACTGATATGTGGCATTGATGTGCACTGGTAGGCACTGATATGTGGCACTGATGGGCACTAGCACGAGGTACTGATGAGCACTGACAGCTGGCACTGATGGACACTGACAGATGGCACTGCTGGGGCTACACTGATCATCAGGGCACACTAATCAGTGTACATGTCCCCTCCGCAGGAAGCTGATTACCGGCTCTCCTCTTCTCTGTCAGCGTGACAGCTCGAGAGGAGAGAAATGCCGATAACCGGCATTTCCCTGTTTACATGTGATCAGCTGTGATTGGACACAGCTGATCACATGACCAAGCCGACATGTTCGGCTCTTTCCGTGTATCGGTGATCTGCTGTGTCCGAGGGACACAGCACACCGCTGATTGCCGCGCTGCGCGCTCTCTGAGCTGTGCATGCGCAGTGAGAATGGGAGGACATCATATGACGTCCTCCCAGAACGAGAGAACCACCTTGCGCCCGTCATTGTACTATATGGTGGGCGGGAGGTGGTTAAAGGTCACCTCTCAGCCCGCTTCCCCTGGTCTCCTCTACCCCATTTGAAACAACCCCTGCAGTGACGTCTATTGGAGATTGGACAGACCGGTGTGTAAATTCTTTTCCTGTCCCCCTCTCTGTGCCTTTTTTGTTCGAGTCCTATAGAGTACCTCATTATTTCTGTCATCTTTATTTGTGGCTCATTTCTGAAATTGCACTTTGTTCCGTTTTTGCAGAAAGAAAGAAGTTCTATGAACATGTCAGTATTTCCCAAGGTGAAGGTAAGTGTCTTATGTGCCTCTTGATATTCAAGTTAAAGTATCCTCACATTCAAGTGTTTGACAGAAGAACTGTCTGTGTTGTCCCATTTTCACCACTCATGTTCAGCCCTGCACTGTCAAAGACTGAAGTGGATCCTGTGTGTGACCCAAGACTGTAGAACTGCCTGGTCCATACTAGAGTCACTGATCGTGAGAATAGATTTGGCTACCAGACTGCCTGTGACCCGTCAGATAAAGCAAGTCAGAGCGTGAAATGGAGAGCTGCAGTTCAGTTGAAGCCAACAGTTAGGAGAGATGGCAGATAAGCATGGGTGGGGAATCCGGCAGAAGGTCAGATAAGGCAGCAGACAGAGAGTGGAATGCAGGCCGGGTCTCAGCTAATGACAACCAATCAGAAGCAGCTTTCTAGAGACAAACCAGAAGCAGGAGATCAGGAGCAGATGCCAGAAAGAAAGAAAATACCAAAACCAACTTTTGTTGAAATATTCTGCTTTATTTCAGAGATTTCCCCAGCAGATTTTATTTTCTGCCATTAGATGTCTGGTCTGATAGCCAGCATCATTTATTTTATTTTTATTTATTACATGTACTTTACATATATATTGTACATTCACATCAATCCCTAACCCTCAAGAGACGCACAATCTAAGGTCCCTAACCCTCAAGAGACGCACAATCTAAGGTCCCTAACCCTCAAGGGGCGTACAATCTAAGGTCCCTAACCCTCAAGGGGGTATAATCTAAGGTCCCTAACCCTCAAGGGGCGTACAATCTAAGGTCCCTAACCCTCAAGGGGGTATAATCTAAGGTCCCTAACCCTCAAGGGGCGTACAATCTAAGGTCCCTAACCCTCAAGAGGCACAATCTAAGGTCCCTAACCCTCAAGAGACGCACAATCTAAGGTCCCTAACCCTCAAGAGACGCACAATCTAAGGTCCCTAACCCTCAAGAGACGCACAATCTAAGGTCCCTAACCCTCAAGAGACGCACAATCTAAGGTCCCTAATCCTCAAGGGGTGTACAATCTAAGGTCCCTAACCCTCAAGGGGTGTACAATCTAAGGTCCCTAACCCTCAAGGGGCGTACAATCTGAGGTCCCTAACCCTCAAGGGGAGTACAATCTGAGGTCCCTAACCCTCAAGGGGCGTACAATCTGAGGTCCCTAACCCTCAAGGGGTGTACAATCTGAGGTCCCTAACCCTCAAGGGGCGTACAATCTAAGGTCCCTAACCCTCAAGGAGTGTACAATACAATCTGAGGTTACCTAACCTAACCCTCAAGGGGCGTACAATCTAAGGTCCCTAACCCTAAAGGGGTGTACAAGCTAAGGTCCCTAACCCTCAAGGGACGCACAATCTAAGGTCCCTAACCCTCAAGGGGCATACAATCTAAGGTCCCTAACCCTCAAGGGGCGTACAATCTAAGGGCCCTAACCCTCAAGGGGCGTACAATCTAAGGTTCCTAACCCTCAAGAGGTGTACAATCTAAGGTCCTTAACCCTCAAGGGGTGTACAATCTAAGGCCCCTAATTCACATTTATACATACACATACTAGGGCCAATTTAGACAGGAGCCAATTAACCTACCAGCATGTCTTTGGAGTGTGGGAGGAAACCGGAGTACCCGGAGGAAACCCACACGGGAACATGGAGAACATGCAAACGCCAGGCAGGTGGTGCCATGGTTGGGATTCAAACTAACGACCCTAGTACTGCCAGGCGGAAGTGCTAACCATTTAGCCACTGTACTGCCCAACTCGCTTCCTCTGAGCCCAGGTTGCTTTGGTTGCTTTTGTGTTTGCTGGTGCTTTGGTTGCTTTAGACCTGCTCAAACTTGTGAATGGGCAGTTAAAAGAGAAGCAACACAGCGATTAGCTCATCTCTTTTTCACTCTGCTCTCTCATCCTTTCAGCATGCTTCTTGTCGGTACCTGAACTGATTAGCTCCTTGTGCTGATTTTTTTCTCCCATGCTCGTGCCCTGCTCTACAGAGACTGTAAGAGGCTCATACCAGGTCACATTTAGGTGCTTTGTATCTAAAAATCATTATGTATTTACAGGAGGATTCGAAATCAACCTGGATCGCAGGAAGTTAAGAACTCCGCAAGGAAAAGTCTTTGTGGTGCCCAGCGAACCTCTAGCACTTGCTGTGGCCACAGAATGGGAAAGTCAGAAGGACACAATAAAATTCTTCACTATGCACCTGGTAAGGCATACAGTGCTTTGTATTGTGTAAGAGTCCAAGAAGGTCCCTGATTTACTGTATGTGTATGGAAAGTAGTATCTGCAGAACAGGCCAGGGCATATGGCTTGAAAACTGCCTAAAGTGGACAGAAACCCCCAAATTGGATGACATTTAGTCTGCTAAAGCACTATGCATCAAAAAACATTTCATGCTTAGTTTTTTTCCAGAAAATATAATTTCATCTCTTTTTTTTTTTTTTTTTTTTTTTTTTTTTTTTTAATCCTTTTTTGCATCTCAGTGTTGTCGATCCATCGCACCTCTTTCCTGTCCACTGCCCGTCAGATAAAACAATGTCCGCATGAAATGGTGAGGCAGAGCTGTAGTTCAGTTCATGGCTGAAGCATCGGTCCAATGCTGCATCTGCGGTCCACAAGAAGTGAAAAATGAAAATTCTGGTGCCGAAAAAGAAAATTCAAAATGCACTTGGCCGAAAAGCGAAATGCGCAGTTTTTAAAAAATGAATATATATATTTTTTGGAAAAAAATACACTGATTAAAAAAAACATTAAAAAAAAAAAAAATTTTTGTGGGGGAAAAAAATACACTGATTAAAAAAAAAAAAAAAAAAAAAAAAAAAAAATATATATATATATATATATATATATATATATATATATATATAATTATATTAGTTTTATATATATAATTGAAAAAATATGGAAAGAGGATGTTGCGGCGAGTAAATAGATACCCAACATGTTACGCTTTAAAATTGTGCACGCTCATGGAATGGCGTGAAACTGCTGTACTTAAAAATCTCCATGGGTGATGCTTTAAAAATGTCTACAGGTTAGCAGTGTAAAGTTACAGAGGAGGTCTAGTGGGAGAATTATTACTCTTGCTCTGATGTTCGTGGCGATACCTCACGTGTGTGGTTTGAACACCGTTTACATATGTGGGCATGGCCTACGTATGCGTTCACCTCTACGTGCGGGGATGGGGGCACTTTAAACTTTTTTATTTTTATTTATTTATTTAATGGAGTTTTGTTTTTTTGCACTGTCCCTTTAAAAAAAAAAAATTGATTACTTTTATTCTTATCACAAGAAATGCATGCATCCCTTGTGATAGAAATAATTGTGACAGGTCCTCTTTATGGTGAGATATGGGGTCAATAAGACCCCCACATCTCTCCTCTGCAATGTAAAGTATTGGATCAAAAAAAAAAAAAAGCATTGATCTAGTTCTTTAAAAAAAAAAAAAAATGGCCGGAATGGGAAGTGACATCACTACAGTCCTCCAAGGGCATAGAGAAGAGTGGCGACCATCTTTCCTTCACTAATCTCTATGCCCAGCACCGAAACCCGATCGTTTCTCAGGTAAGGCTGAGAAGTACCGAGCGGCGGCCGGTGGGGTCAGCGAAGGAGTTATTTCGGCACCTGTATCGGTGCTTTTTTTTTTATTTCAGCCAACGGTTGAAAGGGGTGATTTTAGCCGAAAAATTTTGGCCACCAAAATTTTGGTGCATCTCTGCCGAGAAGTGAGGGATCATTTAGTTCCCAGTCTTCAGTGAGCCAATGACTGTCAGTCTCACTGGAGCACCAGACTGTGGCGGGGGTGGGAGCAGCTGGCTCTAGCTCTCAGTGGCATGCTGAGTGACTGAGCCAGCTGCTGGTTAGGTATCCAGGTGGATTCCGACAATATTGTCAAGATCCCTGGACCGGCTCTGTGATGTCCACCAACAGCACGCTTTAACTCCCTGTCAGTTGAATCTGAGGACACAGGAGTACAGAACTAAGTGCATCCCTGCGATCCCTAGGAGTAGTAAAGCCAAAAGAGCTTTGGCCATACTTCTTCTTTTAAAGGGTTCAGATCTAAAATGTTTCTACATATCTGAAGTTGTTCTGATTTGTAAAAAGAGGTTTTATCAGGCAGTATACAATCGTTCTGAAGACTTGGCTAGACCCCAGCATCATACATACAGCTTACATTACATAGAGGTGTCAAGGTAAGGCTAGTGTCAGTTCAGGACATTGCAGCATCTCATGCTCTGTATATTGTATTGTTCATGTTCTATTGATGTCTCCTGCAGACCACACTGTGTAACACAGCCTTGGACAACCCAACAAACAGGAATAAAGAGCAGCTAATTACAGCCTCACTGAAGTTCCTGGAGACTGACACAGTATGGTTAGTTCTTTATGTTCTGTACAGGAAATAGATTAGTGAGAAGGGAAACCTGATCGCCTAGTGCTTGTATCTACTGTAAAATGTAATTCCCAATCCCAAAATTTTCTTGCCAGTCTTTTAATGATCCTCTCATATCACAGCGGTTTTTGATCATGGTCTTATGCTCACACTTTTCCTTGTGTAAATGTACTCATAGACTATGCAGAACTCATAAAGGACTGCAAAAAGACAGGAGCAAAAAAAAAAAAAAAAAATTAAAATCATCATGTTTATACCTATTCAGTATTGTTTAACAGAAGAATTTTAACAGATGATAAACAATACAGATCATATGATGAGTAGTTACACCAAGTTTAACTTCTTTCCCAGTTACAGAGTGGAGGAGCCACCAGGTCTGGTCGAGCTACAGAAGAATGAGTGGGACCCCGTTTTACACTGGGCTGAAAAAAGGTAAGATACCAAGCTGGAGGTGTGTGTGATATATATATATATATATATATATATATATATATATTTATTTATATTATATATAATTTTTTTTTTCTTTTATTATTTCTTTTTTTTTTAACTATTATTTTTTTATTTATTTATTGCAGGAGGGGTGTACAATCTAAGGTCCCTAACTTACAATCATACATACACATACTAGGGCCAATTTAGACATACATACATATATGAGTGTATGTGTATGTGATTGAGATAGATAGATAGATAGAGAGATAGATATATATATATATATATATATATATATATATATATGTATGTCTAAATTGGCCCTAGTATGTGTATGAGTGTAAGTTAGGGACCTTAGATTGTACACCCCTCCTGAAATAAATAGATAATAATAATTTAAAAAAAAAAAATATATATATATATATATATATAAAATTTATTTTTTATTTATTTATTTTTTTATATATATATATTAATATTTTTATTTTTTTTATATTTATATATATAAGTGTGTGTGTGTGTGTGTGTGTGTGTGAGCTCCTGAGAGCGACCCATTCTTTCACCAATGTTTGTAGAAGCAGTCTGCATGCCTAGGGGCTTGATTTTATACACCTGTGACCATGGAGGTGATTGGAACATAGAATGCATGAAAGAAAAAAACCTTCAGCATTTACAGCCACTCTGATGGTCCTGTAATCTGTTTTTTATGTAATTGTTCAAGGCTTCTTTCAGTGATGGTAATGCTTACTGCCCACTGAAGAGCAATCCACAATGTATCACTTTTCAGAGGGTGGTATAGAAGCACTTGGCCGTTGTCTGCTTTTTGTTTTAATCCCCAGGGAAATTTTGTGGTAAATTAAAAAAAAAAAAAAAAAAAACACCGCAACCACAAGTCACGTGTCATGTGTACAGCCCTGTCCAGCTGTATTTTTAGCAATTGGGTGAGCAACCAGAGGTGGTAGAACCTTGGCTCAGCCACGTGTTTTTATGGGACCATGGTGAATGAACATAGCCACCCTCTAACAGGAAGTTGGATCACAACAGCTAAAAAAAAAACAGTTCAGAATACATACTTGAATAGAATGTTTGTTTGTTTTTGTTTTTTTTGTTTTTTTAACCTGAGCTTAGTGTCATGTTTAAGTCCTGGCTTCCTGAGTAATGTGTGAGTGTAACACTTCCAGGTATTTTTTTAAATTGGATTTTTTCATGGACACTGCTCAAAATGAAAGGAACATTTTGAAAACACATCAGATCTCAATGGGGAGAAATCTCCTGCTGGATCTTATACTGATCTGGACGGGGTAATGTGTCAGGAATGTAAGGATGCCCCAATGTTGGATGGAAATGAAAATGATCGACCTACAGAGGACTGAATTCAAAGACACCCCGAAAATCAAAGTGAAAGAATGATCCAGCAGGTGAGTCCATTTTGCTGAAATGTCATTGCAGCAACTCAGAATGGTCCTCAGTAGTTTGTATGGCCCCCACGTGCTTGTATGCATGCCTGACAATGTCAGGGGAGGCTCCTAATGAGACCACGGATGGTGTCCTGGGGTATTTCCTCCCAGATCTGGACCAGGGCATCACTGAGCTCCTGGACAGTCTGAGGTGCAACCTGGCGGCGTCGGATGGACCGAAACATGACATCCCAGTGGTGTTCTATTGGATTTAGGTCAGGCGAGCGTGGGGGCCATTCAATGGTATCAATTCCTTCATCCTCCAGGAACTGCCTGCATACTCTCCCCACATGAGGCAGGGTATTGTCGTGTACCAGGAAGCTATACCCACTGTATAGCATACTGTAGTTAAATGGACAGGCCAGGAGTCTGAATCATCCCATACACACTCAGACTTGCCCACACTGCCACCTATTCAGGCTCGAAGTCCCACAGCATGATGGGAATTGTAGTCTGAGTATGTGGTGACAAACACTAACAGGAAGTGATGTTGCCACTTCAGAGATCCTTCCTCCTGGAACTTGAGGTTTGAAGACATTCTGTGTAAAGAAATGACGTCACCAAGTTTTTTACACCGTATACGATTTTCATTTAAATGACATTAGCAGTTTTGCCTAACTAAGTACATAGGGCTAAGGTACAAATGTTATCACCGTCCCGGAGTTCTTCTTTAAGTCTCGAGAAGTAGTCCAGCCATAGATGGATCGAATCTCGCCTAGTTCAGCAGTGACTGGCCAAGATTCGATCTATGTATGGGCAGGCTAGTTGTACTTAAAGCGGAGTTCCAAAAAAAAGGCCAGGAGTCTGAATCATCCCATACACCTACTACACACTCAGACTTGCCCACACTGCCACCTATTCAGGCTCGAAGTCCCACAGCATGATGGGAATTGTAGTCTGAGCATGTGGTGACAAACACTAACAGGAAGTGATGTTGCCACTTCAGAGATCCTTCCTCCTGGAACTTGAGGTTTGAAGACATTCTGTGTAAAGAAATGACGTCACCAAGTTTTTTACACCGTATACGATTTTCATTTAAATGACATTAGCAGTTTTGCCTAACTAAGTACATAGGGCTAAGGTACAAATGTTATCACCGTCCCGGAGTTCTTCTTTAAGTCTCGAGAAGTAGTCCAGCCATAGATGGATCGAATCTCGCCTAGTTCAGCAGTGACTGGCCAAGATTCGATCTATGTATGGGCAGGCTAGTTGTACTTAAAGCGGAGTTCCAAAAAAAAAAAAAAAAAGTCAGCAGCTACAAAAACTGTAACTGCTGACTTTTAAAATACAGCCACTTACCTGTCCCTCGGTCCAGCGGTGTCTTCACCATGGCTGGTTTCACCGGCCTTCTCTCCCCGGAGGCAGCATCTTCAGTGTGGGTCTCTGGCTGTGTGTTAAAGCAGAACTTCCCCTTTTGGGTGGAGTTCCGCTTGAAGTCGATCCATCGATCGACTTCTGTACATCCAGCCTGTAGGATTTTTTTCATGTGAGTTCTGCGGCTATAGTCGCCATCAGTGTTCTTTGTGTTCTGCTGGCAGGGACGTCTCCCTACCTGCTGAACACAATAGCACTGCGGAGGGATTCCCCCATCAGATTGATTTATCTGATCTATTTCTTACAGTATTAGCTATATTCCGCTCAGAAACTACAAGTCTGTATTACTTTTTTTTTTTTTTTTTTCCAGGTATGATGTTGAGATCGGCTCTTCCACCAGCATCATGGGCCCTGTCATTCCTCCTGAGACCAAAGAGGTGTTCCACCGCCACCTGGCATCATACAACTCCTGGGCATTATTAGGTCAGTAAGCCCCGGGTCCCATTTGGCCAGTTTAAATATCTCTACAGCAAGTTTTCCTTTCCAAAAGGACACGCCTCTTAGAAATATCCTGAAGAAAACTTGCATTGTTAGAGTTACAGATTGTTGCTGCTGCTTAAGAAAATGTTAGTTTTTTGGCATTTCTGCTAATCCAATGGCTTCTGGAGTCACCGCTCAAGAACAAGCATGCACCAAGTGAAGACAAGGTACAGATAGAATCCTGACCTGCATACTTGTTCAGGATCAGAGACACAAAACACTGGAGCTGTTGGATTGTATTACAGCCAAAAAAATAGCATTTAAGACCCGGATCACATATATGTGAATTGGATGCGTTTTGAGCCAATTCCAATTTGCATGACATGTGAACCAAAATCCTTTTCTATGGAGCTGGTTCACATACACTATATTGCCAAAAGTATTGGTCGGCCGGCCTTTACACGAACACAAACTTTAATGGTCCCCCAGTCTTAGTCCGTAGGGTTCAATATTGAGTTGGCCCCGCCCTTTGCAGCTATAACAGCTTCAACTCTTCTGGGAAGGCTGTCCACAAGGTTTAGGAGGGTGTCTATGGGAAGGTTGGACCATTCTTCCAGAAGCACATTTGTCAGGTCAGGCACTGATGTCGGGGGAGGAGGCCTGGCTCACAGTCTCCGCTCTAATTCTTCCCAAAGGTGTTCTATGGGGTTGAGGTCAGGACTGTGTAGGCCAGTCAAGTTCCTCCACCCCAAACTGGCTCCTCCATGTCTTTATGGACCTTGCTTTGTGCACTTGTGCGCAGTCATGTTGGAACAGGAAGGGGTCATCCCCAAACTCTTCCCACAAAGATAGGAGCATGAAATTGTCCAAAATGTCTTGGTATGCTGACACCTTAGGAGTTCCCTTCACTGGAACTAGGGGGCCAAGCCCAACCCCTGAAAAACAGCCCCATAACATAATCCCCCCTCCCCCAAACTTTACACTTGGCACAGTGCAGTCAGGCAAGTACTGTTCTCCTGGCAACCGCCAAACCCAGACATGTCCATCGGATTGCCAGACAAAAGCATGATTGGTCACTCCAGAGAACACGTCTCCATGCTCTAGAGTCCAGTGGTGGCGCGCTTTACACCACGGCATCCAACGCTTTGCATTGCACTTGGTGATGTAAGGCTTGGATGCAGCTGCTCGGCCATGGAGACCCATTCCATGAAGCTCTCTACACACTGTTGTTGTGCTAATCTGAAGGCCACATGAAGTTTGGAGGTCTTTAGTTATTGACTATGCAGACAGTTGGCGACTTCTGGGCACTGTGCGCTTCAGCATGCGCTGACCCCGCTCTGTCATGTGACGTGGCCTACCACTTGGTGGCTGTTGTTCCCAGTTGCTTCCACTTTGTTATAATCCCACTAACAGTTGACCGTGGAATATTTAGTAGCCAGGAAATGTCACGGATGGACTTATTGCACAGGTGACAACCTATCACGGGACCACGCTTGGAGTCACTGAGCTCCTGAGAACGACCCATTCTTTCACCAATGTCTGTAGAAGCAGTCTGCATGCCTAGGTGATGATTTTATACACCTGTGGCCATGGCGGTGATTGGAACACCTGAATCACATGATTTGGAGGGGGGGACAATACTTTTGGCAATATAGTTTATGTGCGGGGCAGCCACAGTGCCATTTAAAAGAGTCTGGTACGATTTTCAGCCCGGTTGAGGTGCGATACTTTAACAATTTGCATTGCAATCAAACCCAAACCACTAAATGAAACCGAACCGGAGTCTTTTATAAATCGCACTGCAAACTGGACCCGCACGTATGTGAACTCGGGCTAAAAGGAGAGCTCAGCGCTGGTAGCCAATGTATTTATTTCTCTGATTACTGTGCTGTACTCTTGTTTTTTTTTCACTTTGGAAAAAAAAAAAAAATCTGTAAAAAGATAGATGCTGGATTAACCCTTTTCTCATGGTTGCTTCTTTCCAGGCATTGAGTTCATTACTACACAGCTGAAGTCTCTGGTCCTCTCTATGGGTCTTCTAGACCGTTTCCTGACTGTGGAGAAAGCTGTAGCTTTATCCTGCTTAGAGGAAGAGTACCAGGTAAGGGGAAACCATTATTTTCTGCCTTTCAACAATGAGTTGAGTAATCGGCACTACTACAGTGATCACCGCCATTATCCGGGTCCTGAGTGGCTGTCTTGCTGCATAGTAACCACAGAGGTTCACTCGCTTGGCACAGCCACCATTCACATAATGCTTTGCATTTTTGTAAATAAATCCAAAGTGTTCTCTGATTGGATGAGGGGGGGACGTCATGACATCATCAAAGACTGCCTTGCCGTCATTGAGAAAAATGCAAGCTGTGATTTGCGCCTGTGCTGAGCAAGCTGTTTTCACTATGCAACAAAGCAGCTGCTTGGCCCTGGACCCGGAGGTAGCAGTGATTACTATAGTAGCAGTGATTACTACATTGATTTTCTGTTTCTATAGTATACAGTGTAACTATGCAATAAAATTTATACTTTGTGTTTTGGCTTTAAGTAATTTTTCTAGCAAAATGGAGATTTTAACGTGTGTGCGGCATTAAAGATTTGCGCCGAATGTGAAGTGGTTAAGCACGTTGTTTGTTATTGTGTTCCGGTACAGATCCAGCGCTGGGGGAACGTAGAGTGGGCTCACGATTACGATTCGCATGAACTATGTGCTCGCACCGCTGCAGGAACTTTATTCATCCATCTTTGTTCTTCGAGCTCATCCATAAAACACAAACTCTTACAGGACTGACCCCGGGCAGTGTAACTGAACGAGCAAACCTTGGTGGCGGCAGCCATGTTTGCAACATCGAGATTTTAGATGAAGGGATACAAACGTATCTCTCAAACATTTATTTTATAACTTTTTCTTTTTTATTTATAATTTTGTAAATAATAAATGTTGAAATAACAGACCGCAGACTCGAGAACATGTATTAAGATGCAATATAAAAAAGCATATTGTAAATGCAGATCGGTATAAAATATCGTTTTAACATTTCAAATACAATTTTCCTGATATGAAAAACGTCTGTTTGTCTTCAGTGTGCTGGATGTAGATCTGGAACAAGTTGTAGATCCAGTGATCGTGTGCAATAAGGTACAAGAAAGAACACTTCCAGTGAAGGAGTAGAGTGAAAGGTTGAACAGTATGGCATCTGAAGACTAAAGCAGGCCACATCTACAATCTGATTGTACAATCTACTTTAGATCTGCCAACAACTATGTAGTGCAAGGGCATGCCTGGTGGCATATAAATTGATTGGATAGATTACGTAGATGCTCATATTGCATGGTGTTGGTAAATCTAAAGTTGATTGTACAGAGATTGTATGGTCTGATTGTTACATGGATGGTGACCATAACGGGACTGCCAATAGAGAAGGGGTACAGACTATCCTGTACTGGGTCCAGGCTCCTATAGGTCGGCAGGGGGCCCAACAGTGGCTGCCTATGATTCTTTTCTCTACCCGGACTCTCTCAACGTAAGCAGCTTCTCCCCAGACAGCCAGAGGTGGTGGTTGGAGCTGGGGGTGTAGCTGCCGTCCCCCCGCCTCACACAAGTGGCTACTTCATTCTGGTTGATCCGGCAGCTGAACATGGGGCAGGAGGAGGAGCAGATGTAGCAGTCCTGCAAGTCTTCCATCTTCAGCCATGTGGTAAGTGGCTAATGAGGAGACGCTTCCCACTCTGCCCTAACTTGCTGCATACTGCTCACTAACTACCCTGCCACTACACACTGCTCACTGACTACCCTACCATTACATACTGCTCACTAACTACCCTGCCACTACACACTGCTCACTGACTACCCTACCATTACATACTGCTCACTGACTACCCTACCATTACATACTGCTCACTAACTACCCTACCACTACACACTGCTCACTAACTACCCTACCACTACACACTGCTCACTAACTACCCTGCCACTACACACTGCTCACTACTACCCTGCCACTACACACTGCTCACTAACTACCCTACCATACATACTGCTCACTAACTACCCTGCCACTACACACTGCTCACTACTACCCTGCCATACTACCCTGCTCACTACTACACTGCTCACTAACTACCCTGCCACTACACACTGCTCACTAACTACCCTGCCACTACACACCCTGCTCACTACACACTGCTCACTAACTACCCTGCCACTACACACTGCTCACTAACTACCCTACCACTACACACTGCTCACTAACTACCCTACCACTACACACTACCACTACCCTACCACTACATATATATTTTTTGTCACCAGTCCAGTGCAGTGTTATTATATAACTGGTGTGGCGGTGATCAGGGACAATTGACTGGTGACAGTATGGGGAGGAGCGGAGGATCAGGTAACAAAATCTTCTGTTTTTTTTTTTTTTTGCAGTATGAGGGCCACATCGTATATTTTACAAATGTTTGCAGACAAAAAAAAAATCTGTTTTATAAATGAACAAATCAAATGTATTTATTTTTGTAATCCGCATATGATTTTGAAATAAAAAAAAAGTGTTACTAAACCTGGACCCCGCATCCACTAAATCCGGTCTCCCCGACCCCGCATTCACTAGATCCGCTCTCCCCGGACCCTGCATTCACTAGATCCGCTCTCCCCGACCCGCATTCACTAGATCCGCTCTCCCCGGACCCGCATTCACTAGATCCGGTCTCCCCGACCCCGCATTCACTAGATCCGGTCTCCCCGAACCCCGCATTCACTAGATCCGGTCTCCGCGGACCCCGCATTCACTAGATCCGGTCTCCCCGGACCCGCATTCACTAGATCCGGTCTCCCCGGGTCCCGCATTCACTAGATCCGGTCTCCCCGGGTCCCCGCATTCACTAGATCCGCTCTCCCCGGACCCGCATTCACTAGATCCGGTCTCCCCGGACCCCGCATTCACTAGATCCGGTCTCCCCGGACCCCGCATTCACTAGATCCGGTCTCCCCGGACCCCGCATTCACTAGATCCGGTCTCCCCGGACCCCGCATTCACTATATCTGGTCTCCCACAGTACACACAACATGAAAATGCAATTATTTTGGTAAATATAAACTGCTAAATACCTTTTTTCATCAGCAGTATATAGAAATCTTGTGGCTTCTATCAGTGTCCAGCAGAGCACATTAAAGCTTGTAGGAGGAGTTTTCTTTCTGCTATAGGAGGATGCAGAACAACTGACCCCTGGACAGTGCTGATCATGTGCTCTCCAAAGAAGAAAAAAAAAAAAAACCTCTAGCAATACACACCAAAGTGAGCATTTGCAGAGTGACTCCACACAATATGTCTTACCAGGAGATAAAAGGGGGACACAGGAAAAAGGGGAGGATCAGAGAAGTCAGAATCAAACAGACTTTTTACACAATGTAGAGGATTAACCCCTTAGGTTCCACAGTGAGTATACCAAGCATGCTTTACTGCATCTACAGACTGATTGTACTGTTGTGGGTTTAGTAACACTTTAAGTAATATAAAGCAAAGAACTTGAGCCCATCAGAGCTCCTCTCTAAGCCCCTCTTATATTGGTGCTCCTCGTACTTTAGAGGGCTATATACGTAAAACCATGCAGTGGGCTGCAATTTGGAGACCCCTGTGCTAGGCCAACATGAAAAAATACCCTTTGCACTGCTGCCTGGAGTTGGGCTTTAAAAGGGTAGTGAAATCTCTTAAAAAAAAAAAATGCTCCTGTAAATTAATGTCCCAATGTGTTAGTATGTAGCATATATATGTAGCACAGTGGCTCAGTGGTTAGCACTTCCACCTGGCAGCACAGTGGTTTGAATCCCAGCCAGGGCAGCACCGGCCAGGAGCTTGCATGCTCTGCCTGTGTGGGTTTCCTCCAGGTACTCCAGTTTCCTCCCACACTCCAAAGACATGCTGGTAGGTGAATTGGCCCTGTCTAAATTGTCCCTAGTATGTGTATGTATGAATGTGAGTTAGGGACCTTAGATTGTACCCCCCTTGAGGGTTAGGGACCTTAGATTGTACACCCCTGAGGGTTAGGGACCTTAGATTGTACGCCCCTTGAGGGTTAAGGACCTTAGATTGTACGCCCCTTGAGGGTTAAGGACCTTAGATTGTACACCCCTTGAGGGGGACCTTAGATTGTACGCCCCTTGAGGGTTAAGGACCTTAGATTGTACACCCCTTGAGGGTTAGGGACTGATGTTGATGTACACCCCTTGAATGTACAATATATAGTATATGTAAAGGGCTATATAAGTACCTGAAATAAATAATAAAATATTGATGGGATGGAATTGGACATATTTGTCTTCTAAGCCCTATACTATATATTTACTGTGTTAATACTAAGAGGAAATACAAGAAGATCTGGATATTGAGACATTCCATGGTGGGTTTTTATCTAATATGTTGTTGGACACATTCTGTGTTCTTATGACCCATATATATAGTCATTTATTGCAGTGTCCTGTGGAGTGGCCGTAGAGATTTGAACCTATTGTGGACAGATCTGTCCTTGAAGCTCCACATTATACTATATTTATTGTGCCAATACAAAGAGGAAATGCACCAGAATCTGGATTTCTAAACACTTTATGGTGGGTTTCTATGTTTTCCATTCTATATTATATGTTGTCAGACATATTACAGTGGGGCAAAAAAGTATTTAGTCAGCCACCAATTGTGCAAGTTCTCCCACTTAAAAAGATGAGAGAGGCCTGTAATTGGCATCATAGGTAGACCTCAACTATGAGAGACAAAATGAGAAAAAAAATCCAGACAATCACATTGGCTGATTTGGAAAGAATTTATGTGCAAATTATGGTGGAAAATAAGTATTTGGTCAATATCAAAAGTTCATCTCAATACTTTGTTATATATCCTTTGTTGGCAATGACAGAGGTCAGATGTTTCCTGTAAGTCTTCACAAGGTTGGCACACACTGTTGCTGGTATGTTGGCCCATTCCTCCATGCAGATCTCCTCTAGAGCAGTGATGTTTTGGGGCTGTCGCTGGGCAACACGGACTTTCAACTCCCTCCAAAGGTTTTCTATGAAGTTGAGATCTGGAGACTGGCTAGGCTACTCCAGGACCTTGAAATGCTTCTTAGGAAGCTACTCCTTAGTTGCCCGGGCGGTATGTTTGGGATCATTGTCATGTTGGAAGACCCAGCCACGTTTCATCTTCAATGCCCTTGCTGATGGAAGGAGGTTTGCACTCAAAATCTCACAATACATGGCCCCATTCATTCTGTCCTGTACATGGATCAGTCGTCCTGGTCCCTTTGTGGAGAAACAGCCCCAAAGCATGATGTTGCCACCCCCATGCTTCACAGTAGGTATGGGGTTCTTTGGATGCAACTCAGCATTCTCTCTCCTCCAAACACGACGAGTTGTGTTTCTACCAAACAGTTCTATTTTGGTTTCATCTGACCATATGACATTCTCCCAATCCTCTTCTGGATCATCCAAATGCTCTCTAGCAAACTTCAGACGGGCCCGGACATGTCCTGGCTTAAGCAGGGGGACAGGTCTGCAGGATCTGAGTCCCTGGCGGCGTAGTGTGTTACTGATGGTAGCCTGTTACGTTGGTCCCAGCTCTCTGCAGGTCATTCACTAGGTCCCCCGTGTGGTCCTGGGATTTTTGCTCACTGTTCTTGTGATCATTTTGACCCCACAGGGTGAGATCTTGCGTGGAGCCCCAGATCGAGGGAGATTATCAGTGGTCTTGTATGTCTTCCATTTTCTAATTATTGCTCCCACAGTTGATTTGTTCACACCAAGCTGCTTGCCTATTGCAGATTCAGTCGTCCCAGCCTGGTGCAGGTCTACAATTTTGTTTCTGGTGTCCTTCGACAGCTCTTTGGTCTTCACCATAGTGGAGTTTGGAGTGTGACTGTTTGAGGTTGTGGACAGGTGTCTTTTATACTGATAACAAGTTCAAACAGGTGCCATTGATACAGGTAATGAGTGCAGGACAGAGAAGCCTCTTAAAGAAGAAGGTACAGGTCTGTGAGAGCCAGAAATCTTGCTTGTTTGTAGGTGACCAAATACTTATTTTCCTCCATAATTTGCAAATAAATTCTTTCCAAATCGGCCAATGTGATTGTCTGGATTTTTTTTCTCATTTTGTCTCTCATAGTTGAGGTCTACCTGTGATGCCAATTACAGGCCTCTCTCATCTTTTTAAGTGGGAGAACTTGCACAATTGGTGGCTGACTAAATACTTTTTTGCCCCACTGTATGTGTTCTTATGACGTTTTTTACATGCAGTCATTTTTTTTGCAGTGTTCCATGGTGGGGTTGTAATAATCTGTAGTCCCAATTTAGCATATCTGCCTTTGAAGCCCTTTATTATACCCATTGTGTCAACATGAAGAGGATATAGAATCAGTTTTGGACATTGAGATACTTTATGGTGGGTTTTCCATGTTTTTCTAATCAACATTATATTATTATTATTTCAGGTGCTTATATAGCGCCGGCAATTTACACAGTGCTTTACATATATATATTGTACATTCACATCAGTCCCTAACCCTCAAGGGGTGTACAATCTAAGGTCCCTAACTCACATTCATACATACACATACTAGGGACAATTTAGACAGGAGCCAATTAACCTACCAGCATGTCTTTGGAGTGTGGGAGGAAACTGGAGTACCTGGAGGAAACCCACGCAGGCACAGGGAGAACATGCAAACTCCAGGCAGGTGGGTGCCGTGGCTGGGATTCGAACCAACAACCCTAGTACTGCCAGGCGGAAGTGCTAACCATTTAGCCACTGTGCTGCCCCTATATTCTGTTAGACATATTACGTGTGTTTATGACTTACATTTATAGTCATTTATTGCAGTTTTTCGTGGTGTGGCCGTAGTGACTTGTACCTCCTCCCCTTTCCGTCTTCTTTTGGGGGTGTTTCTTACAATATTCCATCGAATACAACTTAGAGGTGATTTGGAGGTTTATACACTTCATGGTGGGACCCGTTTTACAAACTAATGTGACACTAGGTTATGATATATAGCAGGGCTTGAAAATTCCACTCACCCGCTCGCCAAATGCGAGGGGAAATCCCTTTGTGGCAAACACAGATGGAGCGGGTGGCCTGCAATGCAATCCCCAGGCCCCGGGAATTGATTTATGTTCCATTTGCGTGCCAAGCCTCGTTGTGAAGCCAACTTCCGGTTTCTTATTCACCGCCGCGGGGGACACGAGGAGAGGCCCACTCTGCACCACCTTGGGGGACACGAGGCCCGCTCTCTACCGCCTCGGGGGGACACAAGTTAATTTCATAAGCTTTAAGGGGGTGTGGTTGGGAGCAGGGCTAGGGGACAGGCCGGGGGTGGGATTGGAGGCGGACCTGGGCAAGGTTGGGTGGGGCAACTGGTGGAGAGTAAGGTTTATGCCTGGCTCGTAGGTCTAGACTTGAAATTTTAAGCCCTGATATATAGCATGTTTTCATTTACTCACAAAATCATCCATTGCAGTGACCTTGGATGTGATTCGAGGCCTTTTCGTGGGGGGTTTCTGCCGTCCTGGTTCAGTCAGCCCCTACCCTTATGAGGCAACATTTCTGAAGCATCAGATCTTTTAATCAACTACTTTTTTTGCTTTTTTATATATTGTAAGTATATCTACAGATTACAAGGTATTACATGTTGTTATGGATATGAGATTTGTTCCAAATAAATACATTTAATCTTGTAGATGATGTGATGTCATCCATATGCAGAGTTCTTCTCTTTTTCCCTGAGGAAGGAGTGTAATCATTCCGAAACGCATTGGAACAATTAAATTAGCATCGCTGCAGTTTTTTTTTTTACATCTATGATGATACCAATCTATAGCTTTAATGGCCAAACACAGTCACACTGGGTATCCTTATCATGTAATTTCATAGTCTGATGCTGTATTATGACTCTCCATGATGTTTTGTATGTCTATATATCATAACTTTTTTTGACAAATAAAAATTTGTACTTAATATTTTTGGTACCATTTAAGCCCTTAAAGTCCCAGTTTTAGGGAGTCTCTCCTTTTTCTAACAGTTCTACTTTAATAACATGTTGACATATAGTGCAATGCTGTAAAAAAAACAAAAAAAAAACACACACGCATAGGCTTATTTCAAAAAGGAAAACTGTTTTCAGGTCAGTTTTACTTAAATATTTTTTTTTGTTACTATGTATACAGTTTTTGTAAATTAACATTTGAAATGGGATAAAGAATTCCTGGAGCACTATGGTATACCTAAATAGATAATATAGCAGTAACAGTCTCCTTTCATATGGTCTGTGGTCAATTCACTGTTTAACTTAGTAGAAAGAACACGCAGTTTGCAAGGTAATGGTGATGAATACGCTGAAAGCCCAATTATGGGCCAGAAAAAAAAACCCTCCGCCCCTGCACCGGATTGGGTAAGGTAAACACTGCTTCTCTTCATTTCCCTAGCAATGAATTCTCCTTGGTGAATAGTCTCTGCACCTTTAGTAAATCAAACCTTTTGTGTCTGATTGAAATGTCATGCAGATCCATGTAGGGAGAGTGGGCAGAGCATGTTTGTGCACCAATTTTAGCTTAGGCTATTGAGCTCTGTAAACATGTTTTATCTTTTAAAAGGCATTAAGGGGGGGAGGGGGAATGTCTGAAATGAATACATAATAGCAACATGCAATATTTCATCGTTATGACTAAAAAAACATTTTTACTTCTCTTTTTTTTTTTTAAGCCCTAACCCTAATAAAGAAAGACCACTATACATTCCCTTTACAGGACCAGGAACAGGCCAAGTGCTACTCTACAATTGGGGGAATGGATAGGTAGCACTGGTATTAATATAGAGTAGGGATACAGTGGTATTTATAAAAAGGTATTACATTTTGGGCTGAGGTCTTCTACATGCCAAAGAGTTTCCATAGTTTCCTTGGTTTGTAATGCAAAGAAATGCATCTGAGATTGAAGCACTGCAGCATGATTGATAGTCCAGATCCAAAAACATATTCCAATGTAAAATCAGATAGTAGACAATACCAGTAAGCCAACATGTTTCTAGGGCCCAAACTTGTTCTCTATCGGGTTTAAAGATCAGAAGCAACGTATACAGAGTGGAGGTACAAAGTATTTGGTATATTAACCAGTTAAGTGATGAAGGACAGTGCTAGTCAGCAGGCTACCTAAACCTGCTGTTGATGGGCACATCACTTAATTGGATAAAATACCATATACTTAGTATCTCCAGTCCAGTCCATATACATTATTTCACATCCTTAGGCTCTGATGAGGGGAGCAAGTTTTGGTTCTTGGAATGTGTTAGCTTTTTTGTATTGTCTCTCACCTAATTTTACATTGGAACAAAATTGTATCTGGACTGTGACCCCCTGGGTGTAGTGCTTTAATCGGAGATCCATTTATATGCACTTACTACTCCATAGTCAGGAGTTTGGGGGTCACAATCTTGCTCCTCTTTGCAGAATAAGATCAACCCAAAAAAAAAAAAAGAAGAAGAAGAAAAACTACTTGAGAATTAATTTATACATTTACTAAACACATACCAACATGTCAGGACAGAAGATCTCAACTGTACAGCCTTTAAACATGAAAAATACACAACTGTATCGGTACAAAAGGGCACTAGCAGCACTGAGAACACATGCCTGCATGGGAGTTTGTATGTTTTTCCTACACATACATGGGTTTCCTCACACACTTCGAAAGATATGCTGCTCATTTAAATGGTCCTGGCATGTGTATGTACACAAGAGTCCTTCGATTGTAAGCTCAGGGCAGGGACTGGTGTGAATCCAATACATGGAGCCAAGCAAATTGTCCCCACTGTAATAAAATCGATGATGCAGCCAGGTATTAACACTATGGTAAGGGTGGGGGGATACTAGGGGCTGGTTCTGGAAGGTTGGGGGGAGGGGGGGTATTGGACTAGTGCTAATGCTATTGACAGACTAGCATTTCCTATATATAATGTTAGCGAGAGACTGCATCATAAATGTAATTTTTTTTTCTTCAAATTTAAGATCACACCCCTTCACATCAATTCCTGGCCCTCGTCAACTCCAGGCTGAAGTCTTGGTGTAGTGGTTATGTGGGAAAATGTATGCAATGACACCAACTTGTAATAGCTATGCCAGCTGGGTGGAGTTGGGAACTCCCACGTAGAGATTAGTGATGGAGTTCCCACAACACCAAATTCGAGCCTACTGTGCGAACACGCTTACGTAGTCACCTCCCTGGCCGTTGGAATGCAGTCACGTCCACAAAAGAACATATAAACCAAAGTCCCTTCTTAGTGATGAAATGCTGTGAAGAAGCAAATAAATAAAATACATGTACATCAATTTACAACATTCATGTGTAGTGTCCCAAGTTGTGGTCTGCCTTTCCCAAAGATGGGGGATGCAGTGTCTTTGGGGCAAAGACAGCTGATACAAGAGTTCACATGAGTCCTGGGAGATCCAATGGCATGGATGCTCTTGCAGATCTTCTACAGCTGCTTAGAGACTATAGGACATATAGGACCGGACTTCTCTTTCCTTAAAGGACTACTCTTGTTTACAGGCAGCAGGATGATGATGACAAAAGGAAAGGGCATGAGCAGGCTTAATATGGTCTGAAATTCCAGTAACTGGAAAATATGGAAATCTGGAGAAAAAAAAAATAATAGGGGTTAGTGTTGGACAGCAGTCTGGGGAAGAAAAAAAAAAAAAAAAAAAAAAGGAAGAAGGGGGGAACAAAATTAATGATTGTTGGAATCCACTGAGATTTTAAAGATTCAATACACTTTTATGACATGGCTACTGTATGCTAGGTAAATGAAGCACGTTCTATGATATCAGCAGCAATGCATCTCCATGCACATCAACATGCATCATAAAGTATGCAAATACACCATGGTGCACGATGACATTCAATACAAAGGGCCCATTCTCTATCAAGTTGTGGCAATGCACATTACACGTGTTGGTGCGATGCAGTTCCATTTATTCTGAATCTCACCCCAGTTCTCCTTGCTAATAGATAGTATTGTATTGCTGTGCTATAGTGCGGTCCGCAACCGAGAATGGTACATACAGTATTTCTGGTGCACTGGCAACCCATTCATTTTTAATTTATGTAAGGCACATTAATACACAGCACACCACATGTTAATGCAGCTCAGTGGTGTAAATGGGCCCCAAGTGGATTGCAAGGCCCCTTGAAGATGTGTATTGACATGCATTTTGATGCAATTTCATTGATATCAATAGGAGGTGCAGGAGGGGGGCATAGTAATGAAAGCAGCTTAAATGAAATGTTTTACCCCTCTTACACTTTAGGCAAGCTGCTAGCAGGCTTTCAACAAGCTTTAAGAAGTTATGAAGCCTGCTAGCAGCTTGTATAAAAGTGGCAATCAGCACTTCCATTAGGATCTGTGTTCAACATTTACCATCTGGAGCTGAATTGTTTTGGGGGTGGGTTGAATTTAGGGAAAGGAAAAACAGCTAGTGGGGAAAACCCCCCCCCCCCCCCCAAAAAAAAAAACGTTTAGCCAGGAGAAGGAACAACGGGACACCCAAAAAGCATCTTCAGTGACGCCATCCCACATTTTCTCCTCCCTAACATGTCACTAAAGCTTTTATGAAAGTCGTTGTACAGCCTAAACATTTTTACCTTGATACATTCCTTGCATTAAAAAGGTAAGCAATGCTTAGGTTAAAGAATTGCACCCTCACCCCCTTTCCTCGCTCAGTCCAATGCAGTGCCCATCTTCAACAACGGCTCTCTCCTCATCTCCCTGCTCTCACAGGCTTGGCCAGGAGCTGAGGGAGCCATTGGTTCCTGCTGCTGTCAGCCAAATCCTGTGATAAGGGCCGAGCCCCCCTGCCCGTGTCAATCAACGTAGGCAGTGGGGCTCAGGATGGAGCACGAGTGGCTTCCTTTGGAGGCACACCAAGAAGGGGAGGAACCAAGGGCACTGGTGGAGGACCGGGCCATTCTGTGTAGTTCCACCGCACAGAGCAAGCAAGTATAAACCGGTTTGTAAAGTCATAAATTTTATTTTCTAAACTAACAATCTCTTAAAGCATTACCAAGCTGTTAAAGGGACAAGCATTAAATAGGAGGCCAGTTTCACTACAGTAAAAGTCATGTGCACGCTGCTCCTTTTAACAGCTATTGCAGCCCTCCCACAGCAAGCCTGATATGTGTTTTCAGTTGGTGTGCAGGGCATATAGCCAGGATCTTACCTTGTCTTTCAGTTGCTGGCAGAGCTGCAGCGACACGGTGAAGAATACCAGCGCGTCATTGAGCCACGGCACCACGCACTCCACTTTATGGACGTGACTGATTTCAAATCGCTGGTTGTTCAGCTCACTGTGGGATGGAGAGCAGAGTAGTGTAGTGTAATAGCTCTGTATAGGAATACTTTAATAGTTCAGAATATTGATTTAAAAGCAAAGGGTCTGATGGCCATAAGAACCAGGGGCCAACCACCATTTCTTCAAGTGCTGGTTTAAAAAGGAAAATAACCCAGTTGGCTGCTAGTGGAGGCAGCGGCTTTTCCTTGACTCAATTCTAAAAAAATGGCAGCTGGAATTGGGTTACCATGGGGAATAAAAAAACAAAACGAAGAAAAAAAAAAAAAAAAATAAAACACAAACACACAACACCACACCATCAAGCCAGCTGTAGGATTCAAGACATTCATGTCACAGAAGATCCTTGTACTTACAACATTGCTCCTGGGTTATGCAGGACAGAACTGCCAGCGGGACGGAAATTCTGAAAACAGATGGGCTGAATCAATATTGATCAACAATTTACCTATACAGCATCTTGCACATTTACTAATGTTTATATGCAGAATCTTGCTGGCAGAAAGATCCAGATAAAAAAAAAAAGTGAGTATACCCACTTGTTCATGGAACAAACAGGCATATGGGTATGCATGCGTAAAATTATTCTTTATCCTCTTCTAGTTGCCTGTGTTGCAATATATGGACAGTGAAGGAAATAAGGATTTGATCCCCTGCTGATTTTGAATGTTTGCCCACTCACAAAGAAATGATCAGTCTAAAAATCGAATTGTAGGTGTATTGTAACACTGAGAGACAGACATGCATTTGTTTTGAATTTCTTGTTGCTATTTTAACAAATTATGCACTGATTTGCATGTTCATGAGGGAAATAATTATTTGAGCAATCAAACAATCAGATTCCAAACTCTCCACCATGGCAAAGACCAAAGAGCTGTCCAAGGATGTCAGGGACAAGATTGTAGACCTACACAAGGCTGGACTGGGCTACCAAACTATGGCCAAGCAGCTTGGTGAGAAGGTGACAACAGTTGGTGCAATCATTCGCAAATGGAATAAACACAAAACAACTGTCAGTCTCCCTAGGTCTGGTGCAAGATCTCACCTCTTGGAGTGTCAATGATCATGAGAACAGCGAGGAATCATCCCAGAACGACACGTGAGGATCTTGTCAATGATCTCCAGGCAGCTGGGACCACAGTCACCAAGAAAACAATTGGTAACACACTACGCCGACAAGGATTGAAATCCTGCAGTGCCCGCAATGTCCCTCTGCTCAAGAAAGCACATGTCCAGGCCCGTCTGAAGTTTGCCACTGAACATCTGAATGATGCAGAGGAGGACTGGTTGAAAGAGTTGTGGTCAGAAATCGAGCTTTTTGGCATCAACTCAACTCGCCGTGTTTGGAGAAGGAGGAATGCTGCCTATGACCCCAAGAACACCATCCCAACTATCATGCATGGTGGTGGAAACATTCTGCTTTGGGGATGTTTTTCTGCTAAGGGGACAGGACAACTGCACCGCATCAAAAGGGATGATAGACAGAGCAATGTACCATCAAATCTTGGCTGAGAACCCTCTTCCCTCAGATAGGGCATTGAAAACGGATTGTGGATGGTTGTTCCATCATGACAATGACCCAAAACACACGGCCAAGGCAACAAAGGAGTGGCTCAAGAAGAAGCATATTAAGGTCCTGCAGTGGCCTAGCCAGTCTCCAAATCTTATTCCGATTGAAAATCTGTGGAGAGAGCTGAAAGTTTGAGTTGCCAAACATCAGTCATCAAACTTTAATGACTTTGAGAGGATCTGCCAAGAGGAGTGGGCCAAAACCTGGTGGCCAACTATAGGAAATGTCTGACCTCTGCTTGCCAACAAGGGATTTGCCACCAAGTACTATCATGTTTTGTGAAGGGGATCAAATAAATACTTATTTCCCTCATGAAATTTATTGCCTAATTTGTTAGACATGCATTTCTTTTGAATTTTTTGTTGCTATTCTGTCTCTCAGTGTTACAATACACCGAACATTCGATTTTTAGACTGATCATTTCTTTGTGAGTGGAAAAACATTCAAAATCAGCAGGGGATCAAATACTTATTTCCTTCACTGTATGTCTATATGTTGTATGTCTATATGTGAAAATTTGACATAATAAAGAGTTTGTACTTTTTATAATAATTTTTTTGTTACACATTTATGCCTTGAAAGTCCCAAATCCCATAGGTGGTTCTCCTTTTTTTTTGTTCATTTTATAATCTGGGGCTGTTGACTATTGATCAGGAAACCTTTTTTTGTGATTGGCTTGCTAACAAGGTGCAGATGGCACCAAAGCATTCTGGGACAATCCTTTAACCATCGCTTACCTTAGTAGAGTTTGGTTGCAGGGCGTGGAGCTGATAAACCAGCAGACACAACTTGTTGACATTAACATAGAAATTCAGGAGAATGTCGGGTGGAAGCGCTGGGGTAAACATTTTCTAAAGGGGAAATAAAATCAGCCCTGTTAGAGTTCGGTAACAAATGACTACACAGGATGCAACAAAATGCCCCATTCTGAACAGCTAAGCTGGCCATAGACGTTTAGACGAACGGATTCCTTCATCCACACAAATGAGGTGGATGGAGAAATAGTCCCCACTGGAACATTGTATTCCATTTTGGTGCATTAACACATGTGTTAACGCAGCCCATTCATTATAAATAGGCTGCCAATGTATCACCATAGATCACACACACACACACACACACACACACACACACACTTTTTAGCAATGCAATGCACCACAATACACAGTGGCTTGCTGCAGAGTCACATTTGTAGAGGTGTATTGCAGGTACACACGTCTTTTACTGTCCATTGCCATAATGCGCAAAAAGTCAGACCTTAAAGTGACTGTAAAAAGGTAATTTTTTTTTTTTTTACTTAAAATAAAAAAACGTGAAACTTACCTGTTCTGTGCAAAGGCTTTGCACAAAAAACAGCCCAGGCTTTCTATGGTGGCACACGTGCAGGCTTGATTCAAAGTCACACTGTGTGTGTCCATTGACACACACAGTGAGACTCAGCCCCGATCCCCCACTCCCTCATCACTGGATCTGATTAACATGAGGAGAGCACAGCATTGACAGCAATGGACAGAGCATGCAAGTATAAACCTCTTATTTTATTAGAAAAACATTTTTGCTTTAACAGCCACTTTAATACATATGTTGAGATGCATTTCCATTGATTCAATGGGAAAGGCATCAAGCAAAAAACACATTGGTGTGAATCCAGTGGGCTCCAGTGTGGCAACACTCAATGTGCATTGCAGTACTGTTCATTATGAAAGGCACCCCAACTCATTCATTGTACAGTAGAGCCCAGTAAAACGTGTATCACAAAAGTATGTTTTTTTTCATCTTTTGAGGTGTATTGGGAGCCTATTTATAATGAATGGGAGTTATTACCAAGACACAGGCATGTCAAACTGAACAAGATGTATGATCCAAACAACATCTGAGTCCATACGATGGAACCCTGGATGACCAACTGGCTAACGCGTTTCAAGGACAACCTCTTCCTCAGTTTGACATGCCTGTGTTATTATGTCCATTGTGAGTATGATACCTATTTTTGTTTCTTTAATAAATTATTTTAAACGATAATGCACTAGGTCGGTGCGCCCTTTTTCTGTTTCTCCATTTGTATCCAGTGTATTTGAACCACCCCGGTCTGTTGAGGGGCAGCAAGCAGTGCATATTCCAGAAAATTCCAGAACATTCCTATTGGGTCTACTGAGTCCTTTCCTAGCGCAGGAGTAAAGTGTTTGTTGTGTTGGATACACCATACTGTACATGAACACATGCAATGACTCCTGCTGTTCTCACAGAGTCCAGTGAGGAGGGGGAGAGCGCAGGGCCACTGCTCTAGGGCACAGTGCTGGATCAAGACAGGGCTTGGGCATTGTCAGGAGCGGACAATAGGTTATTTTTTAATGAATGCAAAAAAATGCATTTAAATAGAATTATAGGCAAACCTTTGTTTAATTTTGGATAGAGCAAGGGAAGGTTATGACCCGTCAGATTTTTTTTTTTCCCCACCATCTGTGTCCCATTGCAGAGATTTCCCCTTCACTTCCTGTCCCATAGTCAAACTGGAAATTAGGCAAATTAGAGGATTTCTGCTCTGGTGCTGCCCCAAGTTACATAGATATTGGAGTGAGGTTCTCCAGTTTATTTATCTCGTATCGCAGTATACTGTTCCCCAGGATCCCTTGCAATGTCTGCTAGGGGCACTGGACAGAGAACCGTTCCAACCAGGAGGGTATATTATGGGATCTAGACTTTTATATTTGGCTAGGAAGTTGATAGCAAGGTATTGGTTATCATCGGCTTCTCCGACTAGTAAGCAATGGGTAGATTATGTTAATTTGTTACTCCCTTGGGAAAAACTCCACGCACCAACATCGCAATGCTTATCGGAAGTTCCAGCAGGTATGGCAGAGTTGGCTGGATACCCCTGGGCTCGCCCCTCCTCAACTAATAGTGGACCGACTTTTGCAGGTGTGAGACATTTTATACCAGAAGTGTGGCTCCACTCCTCCCCTTAGGGGAGATCATGTGCACCCCCCCCCCCCATTTTTTTCGATGAGATGTCTCAGGTGAACCAGATGTTGTTGATACAGTTTATTTTTATTGTTTGAAGACACGTTTTGGGCTTTGTGCCTTTCCCCCCCCATTTATGTTTACATCTGGACGGGAAGGAATAAAAAGGTAAAAAGTAAGGTATTGTCAAGAAGGCTTTAGATCCTTGTGGTTTCTGTTTTGTTCGATTGCTATTTCTGTTATTCTGTCCATTACGGGATCTGCGTATCCACATCGTTCTATTTATGTGTAATCCTGTTGATGCAGTAATATCATTGTGGATTCTGTAAGTACTGTTTTATTATCTTGACAATAAAAGTTGTTTAAAAAGAAAAAAATGATGGGAATTCCTTGGGGACCTCCAGGTCACCAGAACTAGTGTCCCCATTAGAAGATTTCCCCACGATTACTTTTCCGGGAACAACTCAAAATTTGAGATTTTTTTTTACTTTCAAAGATAATGGTAAAGCAGGATAAATGGAGGGTGTGACTCTCCATAATGGGGACACAGACAGCAATAAAAACCAGACAGGGGTTCTAATCTCTCTCCACTTAATTTAGTTATACTTTAAGGCGGAGGTATTCAAACTTTCTAAACAAAAAAGGGCCGTTTTACTGTGCTTCAGACTTTAGAGGGGCCATAACGTGACCAATGGGAGTAAAATAAATGTCCCATCTCTGGTATTAGGGGAAATATTAGTGCCCCATTGTTGGTATCAGACGGGCACATAGTGCCCCATCGTTGATGTTGGTGGGAGGAATAGTGCCACACTGTTGGTATTGGTGCAGGAATTATTGCCCATTGATGGTGACAGCTGGAGGAATAGTATCCCAAGGGCTAGGTAAACGATATGCAAAGGGCCACATTCAGCCCCCCGGCCACAGTTTGGAGACCACTGCTTCAACCTCTAGGCGCTGGTGCCTTTTAAGGGTTCCAGAAGCCGGGAGGCGGGCAGGGTTTTAGGGTCATGTGACTGCCGTGATTCGCTGTCACACCGTGTGACCGCTGTGATTCGCTGTCACGGCGGTCACATGATCGGGAAAGGTCCTGATCACAAGAGAAGATCAGGACCTTTCCGTGAGTACCGAAGGTGTGCGCTGGGAGCGCACTCTCAGCGCAAATGGTTTTTTTTAATACAATGCAAATGTACAGCTGCTCGGCGTCTATGCCCAGACGCCAGGAGGCCGCACTTTTGCGTTCGGCCGGCACCAAGAGATTAAGGAAAACAAAAAAAAAAAAAATCCATCAGCCACTTTAAGATACTAAACCAATTGGTTTTCAGATCTCTCAAGAAGAGGAGAACTTAAGTCGGTGATGGTTGGTCTTACCGTTAGTCCACTAGTAGTGACTTCTGGGAGTGTCATGGTCGCCGGGGTTGTGAGGCGATTGCGGGCTCGGGTTAACTGTAGCATCACAGCATCCATCAGCTGCAAGAGAAGTTCCACAACCCAATCAGATGTTAAATTACAGAATGATTCCATGCAAAGCTATCAAACAACATGGCCGCCAACAAGATTACGTAATTTTTTTTCTCCCCTTTTCTACAATGGGAATCACTTCAGCATAATTTTTACAAAATGAAAGCACTGACTGTCTTCTAAAGCAGATCTCTTGGAAATACGAAGATTTACACAGGGCACCAAGGAAGAGCCCTGGAACACAAGTCCGATAATCCCCCTTTAAGCCCCCCCCCCCCCCCCCCCCCCGATAATTCCTTTACCTTCAGTACTTCAGACCCGGTCTGGAAGGTGTAATTCTCACCCCGGTTGGTGAGCAGATAAATTGCCTGATTCACATGGTTTCTGGCATCCTGAATCTGATACAAAAAACAGAAAGTGCATCTCAAAGTGCATGTCAGGCCAGAATAAAATAAAAAAGCATTTAGTACATTTCTGCAACATATGCACATTTCTTCATATTTATCCCCTAGACCTGATAATATAGGAAAATATCTGTTGATCGTTCAGAAATGCATTCAGCTCCTAAGTTCTAATGGACAGCATTTCCATGTACCGAGTCTTTTGTTAAACTACACCTCCTTCCCACTCTGCTGTTCTTTACAAAATAGAAATGGATCATTCTGTATTCCCGGGATAAGAACTAGGAGGGTCAAGTAGACTCCTTTCAATAAATGTGTGCACAGGACAGCCCTTCATTTCTGGTAGGATTAACACTTTTTTTGCTCTTAGTAAGCAGATATAACAGAAAAAAAAAAAAAAACAAACACTGTCAAATGGTATATGTAACAGACCAAAAAAAAGGAAGCAAAGAAGAGAAAATTTTTTGTTAGGGTTTCATAGCACTCTAAAAAAAAACATTTCCCCGCCACCCTGTAGTAGAAAGTACTGCTACAGGCTGGCAGTACTGCGCAAAATCTATATATATATATATATATATATATATATATATATATATATATATATATATATATATATATTATATATATTCTGAGTGCAGGATCTGTGTCCCCTTAACCTTTGCAGATCATCTACAACTGAACTGAAATTCCTATTGCAGGGGAGGTGTCTAAAATCTAAAAAAACAAAAACAAATAAAAACAAAAACAAATAAAAAAAAAAAAAAAAAAAAACACGTACATTGTACGCTAGTGCAGACTTCCGGGAAAATCATGGAGCCAATCACACACACAGAAGTTGACAATTTTGAGGTCTGTTTTGTATAACAATGGTGTACAGAGGGCCACTTGATTGCCTTCTTGCATTGAATTTAAACATACAAGTAAAGCGACTGCAGATTGTTGAAAAGGAAAGGTCATTTTTAAAAAGGTTAAAAGTGACAACATGGCTTGTGTAGCAACTGTATGTGCTTCATTAATTTTTCTATTTCCTATATTAAAAAAAAAAAAAAAAAAGTGTAGCAATGGTGGACGAATGGGCCCCAGAAGGGCTATTCTGTGTTACCTGCTGCATCTTCCATTGCTTGTCCTCCCGGAAGGCAAAGTGAAGAAGCTGATTGGTCCTCAAGACTTTTAAATTGACTTCCTATAGTCAAAGACAAGGAAAAAAATAAAATAATTGTAGAAATGAAAGACGCTAAAACATTTTCATGATATATACATTGGCACATGTTCTTCAACACCCCAATCCTGCCCCCCAATTTTTTTTTTTTTTTTCTTTAAAATTTCCCTTCACATCCCATCAGATTTCACAAAAAAAAAATATATATATGAGAGATACTCACAGCCTGGCAGAGGGTGTCCCCTTGTAGTGTCAGAACTCCCTTTACTTGATCTGTGCTGTACATGGGCAAAAGGAAGAGAAGAGTCAGAGCAAACCTCTCAGTAATAAAAAAGGAATTGCCACTGGCATATATGGACCCAATACTCCTCAATTACCTGGAGCTTCCCAACACAAAGTTCTCTTGCTTGGTGGAGCCATCCGCCATTCCACTGGGAAGTGTAAACCTGCGGGATGCTTCCTGTGTGAGACCGACAACAAATCTTAGAAATATAACGAAAGAGATGCTGGGAAATATCTGACCCATCTAGCACCTCCTTTTTCCTCTTTAGTCTCCAAATGTACACCAATAAAGAACACAGATCTGGTCACAGCCTACATCGGTCTACACTACAGGTCACCACTTTTCAATCGCCTCTTCAGAACCGCTCTTCAGTGCTGCTTCACTGCTCCGAACCTTCCACATGTCACAGCCATCAACCCCTTCACAGCAGACTTGCCAAACAGCAGGCTGAAATCGGTGGAACGAAAAGTGGAGTTCCGGACGTTTTTGTGTTTATTACAGCAGCTACAAAAACTACTAAAAAAACCCAAAAAAAAAAAAAAACAAACAAAAAAAAAAAAAAAAAAAAAACAAACCCACACACAACCAAAACCCAAAAAAAACCCCCCCAAAAACAACCAAAACCAAAAAAACCAAAAAAAACCAAAAAAAAAAATGTGTACAAAAAAAACTGTAGCTGCTGACTTTTAATAAAAACACACGCACACACACTCACCTGTCCCAGGGTCCAGCAATGTACTCACCCTCGCCGTCCCTTCTCTCCTCTACGGTGCTGACATCTCAACTGTGGGCACCAGGCTGTGACAGCTTGCGGCTTCACAGCCTGGTGCCCACTGCGCATGCGCGAGTTGCACTGCACCTGATTAGTCTGGCAGGCTTCTGGGATCTGTGAAAGTTGCGGGGAGCAAGTAGGGGCCGCACTGCGGCTCACTTTGGCCGTGGCAAACTGAACCAGAAGTTGGAGCGGGTACCTGTCAAAAACAGGTATCCGCTCCCCACCAAAAGGTGGCAAACATGGCGGGGGAGGGGGTAGGCAAATAGTCTTGCACAGGCTCCTCTCTTTTTTTTTTTTTAAAACTAGAAATCTTTACTAGTGACAGTGTATAATATTGCACCCCTTCCCGCTGCAGCTTGCTCCTAGGCCCTTTAAGAGCTTCAAAATTCCAAGAGGAGGCAGAGGAGGGCATTTACAGTCATATGACCACTATGATTGGCTGGCACAGCAGTCAGATGATTGGAAGGCTCCCGTTCGCAAGTAGGTATCGGGAGCTTTCCAGTTCCCTCTGACAACTGTGCTGGCACGTGTTCTCAGCACAGGAATGTTTTACAAAAAAAAAAAAAAAAAGACACCAATGAAAATGAGTGGCTATTCTTCCCTGGGGGGGCCTGATCCCAGGGACACCAGGTGAACCGAATGGGGCTATTCTTTCCCTAGGGGCCCAGATCCCACCGACACCAATGAACGAGTGGCTATTCTTCCCCGGAGGCCCCGATCCCACCGACACCAAAAACAGAACTGAGTGGCTATTCTTCCCTAGGGGCCCAGATCTCACCGACGCCAATGAACCGAGTGGCTATTCTTCCCTGGAGGCCCAAATACCACTGACACCAATGAACTGAGTGGCTATTCTTCCCTGGAGGCCCCAATACACTGACACCAATGAACTGAGTGGCTATTCTTCCCTGGGGGCCCCCAGATGCAAACTAAGATCTCAATGAATACCAATAAACTGAGTGGCTATTCTTCCCTGGGGGTGCAGATCCCACTGAAACCAATAAACTGAGTGGCTATTCTTCCCAGGAGGGCAACTAATCCCACTGAAACCGAATAAACTGAGTGGCTATTCTTCCAGGAGGGCAACTATCCCACTGAAACCAATAAACTGAGTGGCTATTCTTCCCAGGAGGGCAACTATCCCACTGAAACCAATAAACTGAGTGGCTATTCTTACCAGGAGGGCAACTATCCCACTGACACCAATGAACTGAGTGGCTATTCTTCCCTGGAGGGTCACTATCCCACTGACACCAATGAACTGAGTGGCTATTCTTCCTGTGGGCGCAGATCCCACTGACACATGATTTAGGAATTATTAAAAAAATTTTGAATGCGTTTCGATTATACTTTTTTGAAGGAGGATACACTTTTTTTTATTACACTATGGGGATGGCATTGAAAGTTTTAGAATTTACCAGACCCAGGTCTCCTAATGCTGTTACTGTTATAGACTTTGCACAGCACTACAGAAAAGGTGGTGTCATATATTAAGAAAAAAAAAAACCCTTCACATGAACCACATCTATGAAGAATACCAAATACACAGACTGCCACATTATATTGGGTACTGATCACTGTATCACCGACCTTCAATATTATCCTGCAACTGCTTCAGAACAGAGTGCAAATTCTTCCTTCAGGAGCATTTGAACTCCTCTTC